TCTCTCTCTCTCTCCACTGACTATATATGTGAGAGTGACTCAATGTGTTGAATATGAGATACGAATGTCTGAAAGTCTGTAGAAGTGTTCAAAGCAGTGATGGTAATAATCCATACACGAAACGAGGCCCAGGCATACAGGCATACAAGGCACACAAGGCATGCCGTTTTGCCGGTTTTTTTACGGGGCGTTTCGTTGTATTTTTTGTTCAGTAACGGAGCACATGATTGCTATAATTGCAATCATTGCCATCACTGCTATCATTGCCACTAATGGTATATACACTTACGTCTGGCTCACAAAATTGCAAATATCATTAGATGTGGTATTTCTTAATGTATGCTTTAAGAGACACATTTCCCATTGCTATGAGCTATAAGACATATAAGACATAAGCATATCTTTAATAACTTATATATATTTCGGTGGCATTGCCTTCAAAACAACAGCAAAATCTTATCATTTTAATAGTCATTGCATTTATATGTGCATCACTTCCACAATATAATACTTATATTATTCCTCCCTTTTTTCATTCATTTTTATATAATATTTATTTCACTTGTTTTATGTTATGATAGAGTTTCGGAGGAGAATAATAGACTCGAACTGAAATTAACTTTGATTTTCACTCACAATAACATTAATGCAAAGTTGTGTGAAATATACTTTTAATATTATACTCGTATATTAAAATCTCCTTTTGAATGTCATTCAAATGTGACCTAACAGTGAGTTCGATGGCAGCAAATAGTTGTGTCTTTAATACGATAGCAATTCATACAAATGTGAAATGATATCTTCTGTACAACTACTGTGTAATCTGTATGTGAATCGCATATTCTTATATCATATCAAAATTATTTCCCCTAAAGCTATACTCACTCTATGTTATAATCAATAGAATGAGAATCCCCTGTAATTTACTCCCAAATGGGGGTAATAATAGAAAATTACTTTTCATTTCCCTTCCCTTCTCTCCCTTTCAAAGCTGACATATATTTTCATTTCAATACAATCTCACGCATCAATTCTTTCAATGCATTCTTTCGTCTTTTTTAAATTTTCAAAAATGCATTCATAATAAAAGCTAATTTTATAATTTTAAAATAACAATGTTTTCTATGTGTCTTAAATATTTATAATGAAAAGTGCCTTATGGAGCACCATGGTTATGCGTTTACGATTAATATTCAATAACAAATTGTGGACAAAAATATACATGACAAACAAATTATAGTTTTAGATATACAGTATAATGGATTATAATTTAGACAATAAAAAACTAATGGATTATTTATAAATGGATATTTATAAAAATATTTAATACAGAATATAATTGAATGGATGGAAAACAGAAAGAAGTTAGCTATTTATTGCACTCAATGATCTTATTTTTTATTCAATTATAAATTCACGTTTAATTATAAGATTACTCATTGAAGTCAATAGTAAAATTACAATAATCATTAAATGCAATGAATACGTGTATAAATAGCTAACTTCTGTCTGTTTTCCATCCATTCAATTGTCATAGATATTGTCTAAATATTTATTAAAAGTCTATCAATTGTCTATCAAAAGCAGTTTTTTACTCTTAATTTCTGACACAAAAATGAATCTAAAAATAATTATTACAAGACTTACAACTAATTAAATAATTTCTGGATTTGTTCAAAATAAATATTTTTAATTACATTGAGTATCCAGAGTGTACAGTATGCTTTGTTCTATCAATATGCTCAACTCTATCACTTGAGACAATTTATATTTCATATATTGATAATTTATATATTATTTTCCCATAGATTATACAAATTATAAATACAAATGTTATACAAATGCCAATAATAGTGAATGTGTTTGTTTTGCAGCCGAGCCATACGAACGAACCAGGATTTGTTATCCACGACTCCCTGGTATTCGTTATTTTTCAATGACTTCTGGGGAACACCACTCAAGTCAAGCAACACTCACGGCTCGTATAGACCGATAGCTGTCGTCTCGTTTAGACTCAACAACTTATTGCACGGACTCTCGCCGTTCGGGTTTCACGCCTTTAATGTCATTCTTCATTCATTCGCTACTTTTCTATTCATGAAATTTTCAGCACAAATATTTAATTACCGAAAACGAATTACTTTAATATCGAGCGCATTATTCGCCAGCCATCCCATACATGTGGAGTCAATCGCTTCTATAGTAGGCCGGGCCGATGTCGGCGCCGCTGTTTTCTACATACTCTCCATTATGTGTTATATTAAATATTGTAAATATAGCGACAGTAACGGCAAAACACACAACACTTACTTATACACGTCGCTAGTATTGGCCACACTCTCAATGTTGACCAAAGAGCACGGCATTACAGCACTGGGTGTTTGTGCCGTTTATCACCTATTCATTCATTACAAGTTATTTCCATTAACACCCGAAACCATCTATGCTATCATTTCAGAAGTAATTTGCTTTTTATATTAACTTTATATCTTTTGAATTGGAAATTAATTTTTTTCAATTATTATTTCTAAAGAGACGCTACAAATACCTGCGAAAAGGGATCATTCATTTAATATTGAGTGGTATTATATTAATTGGCGTTCGGGTAGGAGTGATGGGATCGACACCGATGTTCGCCCCGTCAGACAACCCCGCGAGTGACAGCCCTTCTGTGATAATAAGATTTCTGACATTTCTATATTTACCGGTTTTCAACTTCTGGCTCCTGATATACCCCCGGTATCTAAGCTTCGACTGGTCTATGGAATCGATTCCATTAATTCAATCAATGGCTGATTCGCGAAATATAATTTCCCTTATATTCTACATGAGTCTCATTTTCTTACTTAAATTCCTTCTACAATACTATTATAATAAATGCTCTGAAATGAAGCAAATGAACGACAACTGGACCACTGGATGTGGTTGTGCTCCGTGTTGTTATCAACACCAACACCACTCGCATTACAAACACTTGAAACGACCCTTTAATCTCAAGTCTAATAATAATAATTCGTTGTGCAGTGAAGACGAGTACAACATCGGAGGCACTAATAATAATGGAGTGATAAGTGGTGTGAATAGCACTTTGGAGGAGACATATAACTCAACGATGACCAGAACTGATTGCATAACAATGGCTTTGTCTCTATTGATCATTCCCTTCATTCCGGCCACAAATCTCTTCTTTTACGTGGGATTTGTGATCGCAGAGCGAATACTATATATTCCTAGTTTCGGATATTGCCTTCTCATAGCTATAGGAATCGATTCACTTCTTAAACGCAAAACCATTAGATTTGTCACATTTATTGCATTATCACTACTTTTGATATCATTTTCTTTGCGAACATTTATCAGAAATATTGATTGGCTTTCAGAAGAAAATCTCTATCGTTCGGGCATTGATATCAATCCACCAAAAGGTAAGGCAAATCATTTCCTTCACGTAAATAATTGTCTTTTTTATACTAATATTAAAATATGAGAATCTATATTGACTTTTGGCTCAAAATATGCACTTTATTTCATAGCTTATGGAAATTTAGCGAATATATTGAGCGCTCAGTCAAAGAAGAAAGAAGCAGAAAATGCTTATAAGAAAGCCCTCACCTATAGGTTCAATATGGCTGATGTCCACTACAATCTGTAAGACATTATTAATTTTACATTCAATTTAGAGTTAATTTATTCTATAAAACAATTTATTTGAAATATGCTTTAAAACATATTTTTCTACTCTTTATTTCTTTTTTAAACTAATAATCGATTCGTAAAACAAGTTTTTGACATAATTACGAGACAGTTCTTTATGATCCCTTTAATCAATAAAACCATTACTCTTCTCGTAGATAAAAAATATTATGCATTAAAATATTTTTGTTAATTTTACAAATGGAGAAATTATCTTCAAATATGTCATAATTGGACACTTAAAGCAAATTATGTTTCCCTCGAATAGTTTATGTTAGTCTAAAACTCAGATAAAAAGCTATAAAAGTTTTATTATATGATCGGCTGATAACTTAAACGGCGGATCGTCTCAATGCATTCATTTACCTTATATATCATTAGGGTTAGACACTTTTCGGAAGATTCTTATTATCCCAATATCTTCCTGCCCAAAATACGGTAATTTCTCGAAAGATATAAATTTTAAGGGAAATAATGTATTCATAAATGCTAATTAAGTCCAAATATTTTGCACTTGTTTACGTTTTGTTCAAAAATTAATTTTAATTAAATTAATCGAATAAATTTAATAGAATCTTTTGACATATGTTTAACTAGATTGAGATACTTAGAGTTAGATTGAGTTAGAAAAAACTATTTATATCCATCGACTGGTCGTCGTTTGACCACATTTTATCTTATTTTCCCTGTTTTCAGGAAGATAAAATATCTTTACTCCCAAAAATATATTTCCGGAATATTTCAACCGGGGAGGGAAGTGTCTAACGTTATATATCATACACGGCATCACTCGTACAATAAATCCACAGTATATACAAAAGTGAACACTTTGTGTCTCAATATGTTTTTACTAAATTATCCAATTTTAATGGCCTTTTCAGACAACAAACAAAAACAAATTGGCATTGTTTTGATGTGAATTAGATTATCCAATAAATTAATAGTAAAGAATTAAATTAATAAAAATATCATTAATGACATATA